GAGGGCGGGGGGAGGGAGTGGAAAAAATGAGGACCTAATGCTGGGGGCTTAAGTGGAGAGCAAATGTTTTGAGAATGACGAGGGCAATGAATGTACAAATGTGCTTTACACAATTGATGTATATATGGATTGTGATGAGTCACATGAGCCCCTAATAAAACGATTAAAAAAAAAAAAAGAATTGCTGTCTTTGAGGGATGGTGTTGGTGAAGAATATGCCATGCGTGGACTGCCAGAGGACAAATCTGCCTCGGAGGAAGTACAGCCAGAATGCTCCTAAGTAGTGAGGATGGCTGGACTTTGTCCATGCCCCACCCCCGGAAACAGTCATCATGCTTGGTGAAAGAGAGGGTCAGTGGCAAAGAGGAAGACCCTCAGCGGGATGGACTGCCACAGTGGCTGCAGCGATGGCCCGGGATTGGGCAGTTCTTTGTTCGTTTGTACACAGGGTCACTGGGAGTCAGGACTGACTCAAGAGCATCTAAGGACAGCTTACTGCTTGTCTATGTAGCCTATGAGACAAACTTTTTTTTTTTTGGAGACAAAACATTTTTAAGAGAAGACAACAACACCCATCACGTCATACATTTTACCCAAGTGAAACGGAGTCACTAGTCTCTCTTCAAGCCTCAGCAGTTAAGTAACTGTCCGATTATTTTCCCCACTGGTTGAATGGTAGATCTCCAGGTAATTGTCAAACTTTAAAATGATGTCAGAATCAGTGACGGGGGCGGGGGTGGGTGGTGGTGGTGGTGTTTCCTGGATTTAGCTGAACACTTTATAAAAACATTTATGTCTTGTACATCTTTACACAGACTTTGTTTCCAAACGCCAAGAGAAGTGTTTGCCTTTAGAAAGTATTCACTCTTCAGCCAATGACATCTTCTCCCTATAACAGGCAATTGAAAATTGGCTACAATATATGCGGCGTAACTTTCGCTAGTTTTTCTCTACATATATAATTAATGTTTTCATAGCTCCATATGGCCTGAGGTATTTTAAATCTGTCGCCAAGTTTTTCAACATCTTTTTCTTTTACTAATAAAATTGGGATCATAACAACGTTGCAATACTTGGAAGGGAAATTAAATCTACATTTGAAAGTACTAAGGAAATATGTGCCCCAATAGCAACAAAATTCACCGTGTTAAAGACATTGAACTAGTGACGAGGAGAAAGGTGACTGGGCAGCAGAGAAGAGTGTCCGCCTCACAAACTGTCTGTCGATGGGCAGGGACAAGGAGAACTCAGGCTCTGAGGAGCAAGTGGCATCTTTCCCTCCCGTCTATTTATTTTCTAGAAGCAACTCACTGCCATTAAGTCAGCTCCAACTCCCTGGTTTTCCTGAGGGTGTCCATCAGCCACATCTTTCTCCCTTGGAGTACCTAGTGGGCTTGGACTGCTGCCTGGGAGGTTAGCCATCCTACACCTGACCTCCAGCAGCTTGAAAACAAAAGCAATTACATGGCACATGCACTCAAGAACCAAACCCACTGCTACAGAGTCAATTCCAACTCCGGCCAACCCTGGGCAGGGTCTACCAGGCTGTAAACCTGTAAAGGAGCAGACAGCCTCGTCTTTCTCCTTCAGAGGGACTAGTAGGTTCGAACAGCCGACCTTGAAGATAAGTCCTACCACAGCACTACCAGAGCTCCACATGCCCTTAAATCCCACAATTAGCTCACTACATGAATCTAGTGGCTCTTGGCTCTGTTGTAAAGAAAGGTTAACTCTCATGCTAAATCTGAAATGGCTGAAAACCTCTTTTCTTTTTGTTCATCTGTCTTTTTCTCATAAATAGACCTCCTGGCAGACCTATGGGATAGGTTAAACTTTCCTAAAAACTGCTGCAGTACAATATTCTCCAGAATTACTTAACATGGTTCTTCTAGTCATAGTTGGGTTTTTTTGGGTCCCAAACAATGGTTGGGTGGAGTGATTCAAGTAAGGTATGAACGAACAAGAGGATTGGACAAACTTACTACGAATGTACATAAGGTTCTCAGAGCCCTTGTGGGGATGGGACGATGCAAACAAGGTTCCTGGAGCTCTGATGAGGTGACTGATCAGTTCTGTGCATCTGCGGAGCGTAAAAGGGCCAACCCAGAGCAGAGGGAAGAGCTCTGTAGTCAAGAAAGAGGAGCCAGAAGTGAGGGTGTCCTTTGGGCTCAGGAAACAGGAGCCTCTAGCACACACCAGAGAAGGCACATGCAGCAGACAAGCAGCAGCAGTAGCACAAGGAGACGGGTGCAAAACAGGCAAGACCTTGAAGTGGCTTTCCCAGCACAGAGCAAGGCAGCTACAGTGGGTCACTGGCAAAATGGGAAACCTCTGGGTACATTTTGTCAGCGTTAAAGAGCTTTCTTGCACTTGTCCAAACAGGAGAGATGCCAGGCTGAGAGGCTTAAAACGATCTTGCCAGATAGGATGCCTGGTGGGGCTTGATCAAGGGAATGTGGCTGAGAGGAATTATGGAAACCAGAATGAAGGTCAAACATGATAGTGGAACTAGAGGAAAGTCACAGGAGATAGAGGAAAGAAATAAAGGCAACGGACATTTATAGAGGTCTAAATTCAGAAATGTCCATATGTAAATATATTTATATATGACAGGGAAACAGATCTGTGTACATATATTCATGTTAAGTATTAAGGTACCAGGTAGACATTGGACCTCTACTCAAGCACTCCTTCAACCCAGCATTCTGTGATGCTCACCTTCCTGACATGATCGCTGAAGACAAAATGGGCGCGTAAGCAAATGTGGTGCATAAGCTGATGGTGCCTGACTATCAAAAGATGTAGTGTCTGGGGACTTAAAGGCTTGAAGATAAACAAGCGGCCATCTAGCTGAGAAGCAACAAAGCCCACATGGTAGAAGCACACCAACCTGTGTGATCATGAGGTGTCGATGGAATCAGGTATCAGGCATCAAAGACCCAAAACAGAAAATCCTATCAATGAGAATAAAGGGGAGTGTGGCGTGGAGACCAAAGCCCAGCTGTAGACAATGGGATATCCCCTTACAGAAGGGTCACAAGGAAGAGATGATCCAGTCAGGGTGCAGGATAGCACCGAGGAAATATACAACTTTCCTCTAGTTCCTTAATGCTTCCCCTCTTCCCACTATCACACCCCCAATTCTACCTTACAAATCCGGCTAGACCAGAGCATGTACACAGGTACAGATAAGAGCTGGAAACAAAGGGAATCTAGGACAGATAAACCCCTCAGGAACAATAATGAAAGCAGCGATACCAAGAGGGTAAGGGGAAGGTAGGAGGAGAAAGAGGAAACCGATCACAATGATCTACATATAATCCCCTCCCAGGGGGATGGACAGCAGAGAAGCAGGTGAAGGGAGACAGGGTATAAGACAAGAAAAAAAATAATTTATTAATTATCAAGGGCTCATGAGGGAGGGAGGGAGGATAGTGGAGAGGAAAAAATGAGCTGATACCATGGGCTCAAGTAGAAAGAAAATGATGGTGGCAACATATGTACAAATGTGCTTGACACAAAGGATGGATGTACGGATTGTGATAAGAGGTGTCTGAGCCCCCAATAAAATGATCAAAAAATAATAATAATAACCCAAACTATCTGGCCAGGGCAGACCTGAGGAGAAACTGTCTTCAAGAGAAGAACTGTATCTGAGTCATTCCTGATCCTGAATTGTAACTGGTTACTTCCCCGCTAAACCCCATAATCAGGAGCATGGGCTGTTGGTTCCATATGGCCAATGCAACAAATTCTCGAACCCAGGAGAGTAGTAGAAAGTGCTGTAGGAGGGATGACTACTTTCTCACGGATGTGAGAGGAAAAAAGTCTGATCCCCGCCTCTCAGGAATCCGCCTGGGACTGATGGTGACCTTCCCCCAACCCCCCACCCTGTCAAGTTAGATGAAGAGGTCTGATAATGTCACCTTGCCAAAGCAACTCCAGAGATAAATGACTAAGAGCACCTGTCAGCATCTATTACCACAAATAAACTACTCAGTTGCTAAAGGAAAGGATATAATTTGGAGGAAGAAAGTTCCAGCTCAAGACTTGGTTAGCAAGTGCGAGGTATCGCTGAAATACTGAAGACATCTGAGCGCTGAGGTGTTCCCGCCGGCTAAACTCCTGCAGAACTTCGACCGTTAGCAGGAAGATTTGGCGAAGGTCTTCTTCCTAGAGGAAGAAAAAATATAATAGCTATCACAGCGAATGTTTTCAGCAAATGCTTATTTGCAATGTATTCCCTTTTAGAACCATGAGGCAGAGCCAACAAACAAAAGCCTTAATTAATATCCTCCATGGAAAATGCTATTTTCCTAAGAATGTTTCCCCGCTTTCAGGCCGGCTACTAATTTCTGTCCTGGGGCCCTTTAGAAGGATGAATCCTGACTTGACGCTGTTCTCCCAGAGCAACTGGTCTGTCTCTGACGGAGGAGCCCCGCTGCAACTCCAACTCAGGCGGGCTGCTCCTCGTCCACAGAGTCCAGGGACTGAAGCCAATGCCTTCACATAACTTTGCCAAACAATACCTCTGAGACAAAGAGCCCACGCCATCTGCAACAACCTTCTAAATACCGGGTCCGCTTTGGCATCTGGCCAGGCCTATTTTTAAGGCCAGTCAAGTCCCATCAATTGAATTAGTTACATCAAAAAACCGTAAGAATAAACAAACTGAGGCTCTTTACTCTCACATTTCTTTTTAGGTTTGGTTAGAAATAGGCTAGAATCTGTTGTGATGAGAATTAAGCCATTTTTGTGATCAACTATGTTCACTAAGCCTATCACTTTTCTGTTATCTGCTGCATTTCTCCAGTGCAGGCAACTAGACAAAACTAATGTTCTTGTCTCCTGAAGGAAAAATTAAAAGAGAAACAACACAGCGATCAAAATGTCCTAACAAAAATACTGTTACCTGAAAAATCCGTTTGCAGTTACCGTGGAATTCCATACTCAGTCCGATGTTGCTAGTTTTGCTTGAACTTGAGAACTCACTCAATAGTGCAGTTAGAATAGAACAGGCCAGCGTTTGCTGTTAGGTATTCAATAAGAAAAATAATAGGCTGTTATTTTTTACTATGCTGTTGCATACCAACATTTGTTCAAACATGAGGAAACAATTCACCCTATCTTTAGAGCTCCCTTATTATCTTTAGATTATAGCTATCATCAGAAAATTTGCTATGACAGACTAAAAGATTCGCTTTTCCCTTCTAAGCTACCTGGTACCTTGATCCTACAGTCGCACACGTTCATCCAAGACTTGACCTCAGGACACACTACTACTCAACCCGAGATCAAATGGTATTTTAAAATAATCTGTTTTCAATTTATTTCACTGGATTCACACAACAGTCCCCTTTTCTCCACTTTACATTCACAAACATTGAGACTCTGGAAAGTTAATGTACTTTGTGTGTTGTCAGCTAGGATTTGAACTAGGCTTGTGGGACTCAACGTCCCCCTATATGTAGAATGCATTACTTAACAGTTAGAAAGTTAAACAGATTTTCTATCCTCCAAAGTAATTAACCTGGCAATACCCAGTCATTTTTTCTTTTTAAACAGAAAGATTCTCTTATCCATTTATTTATTCACTCATTCATTCAGACTCTCTTTTTGAATAGCTCTCTCCAAAAGGATCCGGGTGTCAGCTCATTCATTTTTATTCATAGCCCATTGAAGTTCGAGGGTACCAGAGATGGAGAGAAGGATCCACGTGGTTTTGGCTCATTTCCAGGGGTTGGGGTGAAATATGCACACTACCTCTGAACGACCGCGAGATTAAAGTCAGGATGGTACTATTTATGCAAGCTCACACAACAGCTGAACCCAGCTGGATCCACCACCAACTGCAGCATCTTTGTTCGGAAATGCTTCTGAACTCAGTACCTTGACCTGACAGATGCTTATCTTGGCAAATCGTGCCAAACGTGCATAAAACTATTTTCCTAAAGATTGACAAGCCGTTGGTATGGAAGCAGGGTGAGGGTTACATGGATGACCATTCTATGAATCTTTGGAATTTTCCTTCGCACACACCAAAAAAAATCCCAGACCCCTATTTGTTTATTCTAACCAAAATAAGTATGACTTTAGAAGTGGCGGGGGGG